ACTTGCTCCTCCTTGAAATTCTTCCCAAGGTACACTTCCTCCAATAAGTAAGCATCAGCTCCTCACTGTGTACCATGCTCCATACTTAGCATGAAAAGACACATGGAAAGAAATGGCCCCTACCCCACAGTTAACAGTCTAGCAAAGAAAGCTGAGTACAAGATAAGGGGAATAAAAAGAAAAAGGTTCTCCTATTCAACCTTTCTGCATTTCCCTCTCCTTACAACAAAGGTCTTTCTAATTTTTGATCACACATTCCATCCATGCATTCATTCTTTTTTTTTTTTAAATTTTTTATTGTTGGCTGTTCAAAACATTACATAGTTCTTGATATATCATATTTCACAATTTGATTCAAGTGGGTTATGAGCTCCCATTTTTACCCCATATACAGATTGCAGAATCACATCAGTTGCACATCCATTGATTTACATATTGCCATACTAGTGTCTGTTGTATTCTGCTGCCTTTCCTATCCTCTACTATCCCCCCTCCCCTCCCCTCCCCTCCCCTCTTCTCTCTCTGCCCCCTCTACTGACATTCGTTTGTCCCCCTTGTGTTATTTTTCCCCTTCCCCTCACTTCCTCTTGTATGTACTTTTGTATAACTCTGAGGGTCTCCTTCCATTTCCATGCATTTTCCCTTCTCTCTCCCTTTCCCTCCCACCTCTCATCCCTGTTTAATGTTAATCTTCTTCTCATGCTCTTCGACCCTACTCTGTTCTTACTCTCCTTATATCAAAGAAGACATTTGGCATTTGTTTTTTAGGGATTGGCTAGCTTCACTTAGCATAATCTGCTCTAATGCCATCCATTTCCCTGTAAATTCTATGATTTTGTCATTTTTTAATGCAGAGTAATACTCCATTGTGTATAAATGCCACATTTTTTTTATCCATTCATCCATTGAAGGGCATCTAGGTTGGTTCCACAGTCTAGCTATTGTGAATTGTGCTGCTATGAACATCGATGCATTCATTCTTGATATATTTAAAAATATACATATATTTTTACACGATATATATATACATACACACATAGATACTATCATCAGCCAATATCTCAAGACAGTGAGGTGAGATCTGTCATTAGCTAGGCTGGATATAAACTCACATTTCAAATAGAATATTGGATGTCTTCCAAAGAACAAATTAAAATGAAGCTGATAAAGAGATTAAGCTTGGAGTAAGAAAAATGTCAGCTCTGTTACTTTCTTTTTGTTTGTAGTTTTGTTATGGATATTTTTCTTCAAACTATAATTTATTTGCAGGAATATTTTCAGAAACTGTTTAAGTGGAACTTATCTTACAGGATTTAGCACAATATAGTGTATATAAAAGGCACTTAATTAATGTGCACGAGGAATTGGGTATTTTCTACGCTAAGAAAAAGACAAAACATGTTTCAGGACCCAGGAAGACTAAAAACCGAAGTGTTATGAGAAACCAAAAAAGCTGCTGAGATTTGTTCTGGATCATTGTGCACAAATGTTCCACTTTTAAGAATATAATAACTCTGGATAAGCAGAAATGCATGGAAATAGACAAATGCCACCTAAAGCAGAATAAATCCTCATGGATCATTATTATGAGTAATTCACCATAAATAAGAGAAAGAAAGTATAAATATGCCTTAATTCCCTTAGTATTGGTTCTCATTGATAATACCTAACTATTAGTATTGGTTTTGTTTGATGGAATCTATTTCATTTTAATTAAAAGGATCAGATTCTACGGTGGCAAGGGAACCCATGATGGAACTATGCAGTGTTCCCACTGACTGTTCCTTATGTCCTGGTGTTCCTGGAGGGCCACCAGGAAGACCACATGAGGAAATCTTTTCATGAGATGTCATGCACAGAACACCTAAGTGTTTGTTTTAATCAGCTTTTCCTTGCTGTCACCAAAATACCCGACAAAAAACAACTTAGAGGAGGAAAAGATTATTTGGGCTCATGGTTTCAGAGGTTCAGTCCCTGGTTGGCCAGGTCCATTGCTCTGGGTCCAAGTTAAGGCACAACACCATGGAATAAAGACATGGCAGGGGAAAGCTGCTCCCTCATGGTCCTGGGGAAAGCATAGAGAGGGAGGGAAAGCCAGGAGGATGAGAAGGAGAAATAAATAAAATAATCCCCAAGGGTAACTCCCAGCCAACTGCCTTTCTATCAGTGCTCTCCACCTGCCCACAGTTACCACCCAGTTTGTTCATTCAAATTGGTAAATGAGAAATAAAAGAACTTGAGTTGGGGAGAAATAGATGGAACAATTTTAATACCTCCAGTCTCGAGGGTAGCCTTCTCTCCACACCAAACCACTTTGACACACAGACATTGGGGATAAACTAACCACATTCTTTGAAGTTTACTCTACCAATAGACCCTGAACTAGTGAAGAGAATGTATCATATGAGGATAGTAGAATCAGAAATGGAATTGTTTCTTCTCAACTTAAAAGGAAAGTCTGTCTATTCTTACAGAGTAAGAGGTAGAAGAGGTAGATTTGAAAATAGTTTTGATAACTGTTAAAATTACTGTCCCTGTATGAGTTAGATTTTCAAAGGAGAAAACCAAATACAGCTCATGCCATCCACTACAATTTACTGCCTATTGCTCATTGCAATTATTCTTTATTGTTATTAACAAGTATTAATTGTACATATTAATGGGGTGCAGTGTGGAATTTCAACACGTGCATACAATGTGCACTAATGAAGTCCAACCTCTCTTTACCCACCTTCCCTTCTTCCCTTCATTATAATTATTTTTAATAATATGATATTTTTTTATTTTATCTTTCACCCATAATATTCCATTTACTTCTATACAGCAGTTTCATCATGTTCTAAGGTCAGATTGCTTATTGGTCAGGTGAAAGTACCCTTGGATTCTAAATTATTACATTTTCTCTATAACCTGTTGAAGTCACTACAGGTAGTTTAGTGTTTGACCTCAAATAACACTGAAGGGTGCTTTTGTTTATAGGCTTTAGTTTAAGATTATTACAAAATATTCTGAATGATCTAAATTTGTTTGTAACTCACAATTCAATTCACCACTTTAAAAATCCTCTAGTCTTATGAGTCACAGTGAAACCAGCAATCTGCTTTTCAACATTTGCAATAGCGTAACATTGTTTTCCACAAGCCACACTGGTTTTAAAAGGTATGTGTGAAAGAAGCTGACTCAGAACATTTGACAAGCTTCTCCAACACACATGCATATTTGTCTACTTCATCTTGTACCCAAATCATAGGTCATATGTATGAAAAAAAACTGCAAAAACTTTATCTATGACAATAACTTCTGACAACTCAGTAAAAGTTCTTTAGTACCATGTTTTTTTTATAGTTCCATTGTGTAGCTTATATAATATCTACAAACTAATTAGTACACAACTTCAGATTTTCAATGGCTTCACTCTGTACATCACACTAAAATATTTGGCAAAAAAAAAAGACATTCACAGAAAAAACGTAAATAAAACTGCTAAAAATCTAATTATAATACAAAATATTAGGCTTGATTTTAAATGGTTTAGTTAGAAGAGTGATTTTAAGTGAAGCTTGCTAAAATTAGCCAACTTGTATTACTAAATAACAACTTCTTGTCCTCTTCATATGGAAAATAGATTTTGAAAAACAGAATGATTTTGTTCTACCAAATCATAAGGAATGAAAGAATATTACTTTATCTGATTAAGACTGAGTATTTTCAAAACTTAAATAATGCTCAGACTTAGCAGTTTGCCTTGATTTTCTATAGTCCATGCCAGAAGCACAATGTCATGAACACACACACATTCTCTCTCTCCCTCTCTTTCTCTCTCTCTCTCTCTCTCTCCCTCCCTCCCCCCCCCTCCCCCCCTCCCTCTGCCCCCCTAAAACTTTTAAATTATTTTTAAGCCCCACTAAAGTGTAAGATTCTACATCAACCACAAGATGTCAGTCCATGGTAATCTTCACAAAGCTGTGAGATTACCAGAGGAAAGTGAATGATTACAAAAAATATACATATAGTGTTCAAACATGAGAACAGGCCTTGGTGCTCTAGCTATGAGTCAAGGATAATCACGGAAAAAGCGGTTGAGCGTTTATTTGCCTTTGCACTTTCTAATCAGACTAGTTCTGGGAATGTGGTACATCAAATTCCCAGATGTTGCAATTCGGGTCTCAGACACTACTGCGTCGGGTTCCAACTCAAAAGAATAAATCTGAAGTTCATGATTTCTCTTTCCAAGCCTTTAAATATCGATAACAACTTTGTTTTAGGAATGGGATATTTGATTGAGTTGGAATGTGGGAAGCTGCATTGAATAGCGGAGGTCAAGAAAAGAAGGAGTAAATGCGGTATTGGTTTTTTTGTTTGTTTGTTTTTAGCTGAGGAGCAGGGTTTGCAAGGTTTAGGGTACAAGAATGGGGCAATTCAGGGTGTGAGTCACTCTTAAATCCGGATTTGGATCCCTCAATTGTAAATAATAACCAGACCACAAAGAAACTTGTTAATTTTAAAATTAGCTAATTTGTGGATGGGTTTATAAGATTTAAAGCAATCCTTCTCAAAATCTGGGAATGCTTGGTATCATCTGAGAGCTGCAGAATCTCAGGCCCCTTCCCAGAACTACTGAATTGGAAACTGAATGGATTCCAGCAGCCGGTTTTTTCTAGGCTTTCTCTAGAAAACCCGTGGTAACTTTACCAATTTGGAAAACTTGGTGGTTGTGATGCACCTCGAAGTCTGAGAACCACTGCTCCAAAGGACGCACGAATGTGCGTTGTTGGGGTAGGAGTTAGGGAGGGGTTTAAGAGCCCGGAGAAGATCTCAAGCAGAGGGCCGAATTATTTGAAAGGAAACTGGGAGGGGCCAGGTTGCAACGTGGGGACCGGGGATCTGAGCAGGAGCCCCGCAGACACGGGCGCCAGCAGGCGGCGCTGGTCGCGCAGTTGACGACGGGGCGGGGTCAGCCCGGAGCGAGCAGCTTAGGGAACTGGGCTCAGAGCCTCCTGGCCCGCACTCCAGCACCCACTGCTGCCGGACTTGCCAGACTCACCGTCGGGTCCCAAAGAAAAGTTGGTGAGTCCTTCGAGTCGGCCTTGCTGGCCGCTTGCTCCCTGCGCCCGCGCGCCCCCCGCGAAGCCCGTCCCCAGCTCCGGGAGTGGTTAAGGGTCGCACGCCCTCCGCGGTCCGGGCGCGGTTGGCTGCTTACCTCGGCTCCACCCCACCGCAGAGCACACCGCGGGATCGTACCCTGGCCAGGGGTGGGAGCCGGGGACTCACTGGAGGCCTTTTCACCGATGGCTTTTGAAGTGAGTCCTCAGGTTGGGTTCTGATGGCAAGTTTTCCAACTTGGTAAAGTTCCCACCGGTTTGCACTGCATTGATGAATGGTTGGTACATAATATTTAAAATTGGGCAACTTCGGCTTCAGGTTTCCTAGTAACAGGAAGTTTTTATTAGGTACTTGAAACTTTGGTCCGACTCTTTCAGGATCTGGGTGTGGTTCAGGTTCCCTCCAAAACAGTCCATCAAGGTGTTTAAACATGTCGCTCTAGTCAAATCTACTGAAGGGGGCTTAGAGACTTAGAATTTACATACACTTCCAAATTCCTTTCTCTGTTCTTTTTGAAGAAAAAAAAAAAAATCCCATCCGTATCCTGACATTTAATAAATGGCCATTCATTTAGCATGAATGTTAAATAGGGGAGGGGGCGCAATGCTTAAAAAAAAAAAAAAAAACGATGCAGTGAAGAAAACTACCTTCCCTTCACATAGTTAAATGTCCTGAAGCAAGTGTGTGCTTGAAAGGATAGAAGGTTGGAAATGCAAGGCAACCCACAATGTGTTCCAGTCTTTGGGTTTCTTGATATTCTAAATTCTTGGCCATAAACATGAGTTTGTTGGGCTGTGTCAATATTTAGCAGGAACACCAGGCCCGCTATCCTGGTACAGCAAAACAGAACAGTCTCATCAGAAATATGCTCCACTTTTTAATAGGAAGAAAATTAGAGAATGTTGGGTCAAGTTCTGGAGTTCCTAACATCTTCACACTGCTGTTTCCTGTTAGGTTTGTTTGCTTGTTGTATGAAAAGGAAAATTTTCTGTAGAACCTCAATTATATATTTAGTTAATGTCTGTTGGAAACCAATATGTTTTGACTGATAATTTATTTTCCTGGTTTCTGGGCACAAAGTGTACTGTGGTCCCCACAGTCAACACTCTCTCACTCACTCTCTCTCTCATGGCCCTGGACTTTTTCTTGGCTTTGCTCTTCAGCATGATCTCCCTCCAGGGCCACTCTGACTTTGCACTTGGAATCTCAAAGTGGCCCTTTGTCAGCAAACACTGCCAACTTGCTAGATGTCCCAGGACTCTGTTTCCCTTCCAATGCCACCATCTTTCCATAAAACTTTTTCTTTTTTTTAGGATACAGCATACTACCATGAAGTTACTTGTTGAAATGGTTGCTTTTTCTCCTGGATTTCAAGATGTTTAAGGGTAGAGGCTTTAGCTCATTTAACTTTATGTTTGTTCCCACTGTCTGACATCATTCCTTCCGCTATAGTTAATGACTATTGAACAAACATGTGTTTATATGTTATCTTTAACTCTGAAACTCCAAGTTAAAATAGCCTTTAAACATGTCAAATTATTCCTTGCATTTGATTATAGATGGTATTCTGCTTCTAGATACCATTCCAAATTACTCTATTTACAATGTTGGTTAAATCACCAAATAAAGTGAAATAATACTTCCTGACAATAGAATGTACGCTTTTTCAGAGTGGCACAAAGCCTTATTTCTCTTTTTCCTCTTTAGTATCTATATACAATCATGTTGGCAAATAGTTGATGATTGGCATATGCTTTTACCCAGAATTCTTTCAAAAGCCAGTGATCAACACTCCACTCAAACCAACTCAAGTCAAAAAGGGAATGTATTGACTGTGTAGTTGAGATATTCAAGATCTAATCTCAGGGACTATAGTACTCAAAATATGCCACTAGGACTCTCCTGTTTCTTTTCTACTTCTCTATGTTGTCTTTCTCCTATTCAAATAAAGACATCTTCCTCCTTACAGCATGGGGGCAGGAAAGCATGGTAGTGCTGTAGCATCCCAACTTAGCATATGCCCATTTCTATGGCCAAAGCCTGGGTGTTACTAAAACTGACAACCTCCTGACACAATATTGGAGATAAAAAGGGCATATCTCCAAATAAAGAAAATATTTTACATCAGGAAAAAAATGGAAAGAGAATGTGCACAATCAAAACAACAATTACAAGTTATATATCCCTTATCTGATTCCTTAGGATAAGAAATGTTTTTAATTTTTTGGAATATGTACATATAATACAATGATATATCTTGGGGATAGGACCCAAGTCTAAATACAAAATGCACCTGTTTCATATGCACCTGTACACATAGCCCAAAGGTAATTTTATACAATGTTTTTAATGCACTGGTGATTTGACTGCAACCTGCAACAGGAAGTCAGATATGGAATTTTCCACTTGTAGCATGAGATCAGTGCTCAAGAAGTTTTGGATTTTTGGATTAGGGATCCTCAATCTGTATCCTCATCATGAATGTTCTGAAATTCCAAGATTACTAATATCAGGAAACTGTTCCAGGAGCTCCTCAACAAAGAAAACATTGGCATTATGTAAAAGTGACTCCTTTTTATTCTTTGTAAAGATCTAACCTTTAAAAGTTGGAGAATGTTTTTAAGTATTTTAAACTATTTCTAGAAGTAACTTTGCACCTAATAAAGTTTTACAGATGTTCTATAAGCATTAAGAACATACTAAAAATGTAGATGATCTAAAAACACTGGGAAACAGAATGTTTTCCATCAACCGTTGTATTATCTAATCTGTTTTTCATAGAGTATGAACTGAAGATGTATTTGTCTGGAAATAAATTTGGAACTAATAAAAACAGTGAGTAATATTACAACATCATGTTTGTCTTCCTTAAAAAGTGTTACACCAAGCCTGGATGAGGATCTGTGAAAGTGGCTATGGAAAAGATTTCTTTATCGGGTAAAAAAAAAAAAAAAAAAATGGCAAAATATCTTCCAAAGGGTTGACTAGTTACTGCAGGCATGTCAATGATCGAACACAACTCAACACCTCCACTGGAAATATACTAGAAATTCCTGTCTTACCAACAAAGCCTGGCCCATTACTCTGGTGGGAAAAAGAAATGACGCTTTGAAAATAACAATTTTAGTCTTTTATTCCATTAATCAGGGCTTGCCTTACTAACAGTATCTGTTCTGTTCCTTGTATGAAACTCAAAAACATTTCCCCATAAAAATCAATTAATTATTATGTTAGGAGTCCAGTGTCAATACTGAAAGTCTATTAACATATGATCCTGCCAGGTGCAGTGGCCCACGCCTGTAATCCCAGTGGCTCCGGAGGCTGAGGCAGGAGGATCTCAAGTTCAAAGCCAGCCTCGGCAACAGCAAGGTGCTAAGCAACTCAGTGAGACCAGCTCTCTCAATAAAATACAAAAAAGCGCTGGTGATGTGGCTCAGTGGTTGAGTGCCCCTGAGTTCAATCCCCAGTACCGCCCTCCCCAAAACTGCACATAATCCTGAAGTATAATTTTATATCATCTACCTCCATCTCTCATTGATAACATTGTTATTCTAAAAAATAAATGCATTTCTAATTTTGTTGACCCTTGTGGAGAGTTGGCTTTCCTCTCAATGAGAACCTGGAGTTAAACTTCTAAAGGTAAAAGGTTGGGACAGTTTGTATTCCATGTAGACATTGGCAGTTCCTGCACAAAAACTAATTACTACTTACTGAAGAACAGTGATTACTCCTGACATGAATGCACTAATCTGAGACTCTTCAAATCTGTAAATCAGTCACTTTCTGAATTTTAATTGAAAGTTATATGCTTTTCTAATATTTAAGTGAGTAAATCCTCCATATCATCCCGTCGAACATTAACATCATGAATACAATAGACTTGAAAAGATTACTTATTTTTTTATTTTTCTAGGTGGCTGAAGCCATACTATTTTATAGACTTCATGGACAGCAGAAAAGATACCACAAACCAAGAACTTTGGAAAATGAAGCCTAGGAAAAATCTAGAAGATGATGATTTTTTGGTAAAATAATAAAAATAGGGGTTAATAATTAAAATCTTTAAACCTAATTCAAATGCCATTCTGTATCTCCTGGTATTGTGAAAGTGATTTTCATCCTAGTCTGCTGATATGGGCACTTGGGTTCCTGTCACTAATACTGTGATGGTAAAGGGCAGTGTGGTACATATGAGAGAAATAGTACTTTGACTGATATTCAGGGACTGAGCTGAATAACCTTCAAGAAATCACTGAAAATTTTGGGCATTGGTTTATCTATAAAGTGAAAAGGTTAGAGCCAGATATGGTGGCACATACCTACCTATAAATCCCAGTAATTCAGAGGCTGAGGCAGGAAGATTGCAAGTTCAAATCCAGCCTCAGCAACTTAGTAAGGCCCTAAGCAATTTAACAAGACCCTGTCTCAAAATAAAAAATAAAAAGGGCTGGGGTTGTTGCTCATTGGTTCAGCACCCCTGGTTTCATTCCTTGATACCAAAACAAAAAAGTGAAAGAAAGAGTTGAATGAGATAATCCCTAAGTTCCTTCCAATTCTAACAGTCTGTAAAAGAAACATTAAAAAAAAAATTTTAAGTAGAATGCCATATAACATAATTTTTGTAAGCAAGCATTTTTCTCACAGACACTGTGGCAGCTTACTAAGAGATCACCAAGTAAATTGATGATTCACTGTTCAACCAAAAAAAATCACTTTTGGATAAGAATCCCTTGTCCCACTTTTGGTCAACCACAGGATTAAATGTTTCTTATTATAATATTTGACTTAAAAAGAGGCAGAAAATTTTAGTTCCAAACTCTTACCTTTCTGAATTGTTTCAAGTATAGTTTTTAACAGAAATTATTTATCTTATCTTAATCACATAAAATGAAAAAGATAATTAAGAAATTATAAACATATACCCTATAAAAATAACTGTGTACATAAAACAAAATCATTTCTCTTTTCAAGTTGTTTTCCTTGCTGTTCCATAATTCTTCACTCTTAACCAGAGAATTGATCTCAGTTAATTATACTTAGTCTGTATTAACATGAAGAAATGACAGAAGCTATAGCCTTTCTAGATGGAGTAATTAGAATAAGCATTGGATGTAACAGCGATTTATTACTCAAAGTAAAATTCAAATGGTAAAAGGGATCATTTTTTAAACACTGAAAATTATAGAGAACCATGTGAATTAGAGTTACTCTGCATAAAATGAGATGAACAAGATAATCACTAACATCATTTAAAGCATTAAAATGTTCTGGTTCCATATAGAGAGCTATAAAAGTGAATAATAGCATTGAGTGAGAAGCAAATTTATTCATAATAATAGCACAATATGAAACACTGATATTAAATCTCATTTTGAGCTTTTTAAAATTTTTCTGTGTATCAGTTGGAGAAATGACAAATTATTCAATATAATCTTCTTTTGAATTGTTGACTACCTAGAAATTCAACTGGATCAAGACTAACTTTCTCAGGAAATAGATCATCTCTGTGGGATTTAACTATTTATATATAGCCTTTGTTTTACCTTCCAATAGTATATATGTCTATCAATACTTAAACAAATAAGTTTTTTTAAAAAATAAACTATGTAAAGCAAGACTACATGATGGAAATTATGGATTTTTATCCATAATTTATCCATAATAGTCATGACCATATTATTCCTGATCCTTCATGTTTTGAATTAATGAATAATTCACTCTTCAGTGCATTACCAAGAGTTACCTAGGAACTAATAAAATATTTGCAAAACAAACACAACTATTACAATTTATAAGTTTATTATTTTACCAGAGATTATTGTGATTTTAAAAACCTTTTTTCAATTTTGACTTCTCTGTTGCCATATTCCATTATTTCACATCTTCAAAATAGACACAAGGACCTATGCTTTTGTGAAGGTATTGGAAGTATGTGTTTCTTTTTTCTTAAAAACAAATGAATAACAGAAATGAATGGAGAATTTCAAAGTAGTCAAGTAGACCTTTGGACAGTTAAATAAACTATGCTATCTTTACCTGACCAGTATCCAAAGCAAGATTCTCAATGCCTTTATTCACTGAGAAGCACAATGACTGGGCCATAAGTAATTAGATTAAGGAAAATTTCATGTATTGTTCAATTTTAAGATATATCTTTTCTCTTTTTTTGTAGACTGAGGACACTGGAGAGACCAGCATGCTAAAAAGACCTGTGCTTTTGCATTTGCAGCAAACAGCCCATGTTGATGAATTTGATTGCCCCTCAGAACTTCAGCACAAACAGGAACTCTTTCCAAAATGGCGCCTGCCAATTAAAATAGCTGCTATTATATCATCTCTGACCTTTTTTTACACTCTCCTAAGGGAAATAATTCATCCTTTAGTTACTTCCCATAAACAGTATTTTTATAGGATTCCAATTCTTGTCATTAACAAAGTCTTGCCAGTGGTTTCCATCACCCTCTTGGCATTGGTTTATTTGCCAGGCGTGATAGCAGCAATTGTACAACTTCGTAATGGAACGAAGTATAAGAAATTCCCACCTTGGCTAGATAGGTGGTTGTTAACAAGAAAGCAGTTTGGGCTTCTCAGTTTCTTTTTTGCTGTTCTACATGCAATTTATAGTCTGTCTTATCCAATGAGGCGATCCTACAGATACAAGTTGCTAAAATGGGCATACCAACAGGTAGGATAAAGATGTTGGCAGTATTACTAAACTAAAAAGTCTAAATCACCTAACAAATTAATCTCTTCTCATTGTAATATCAATACCCCAAGCCCCCATTGAAACCCTGGATTGAGAAAGTTATCTAATTTTTTAAAATTTTATTATAGATTGCAGAATCACATCGGTTACACATCCACGTTTTTACATATTGCCATACTAGTGACTGTTGTATTCTGCTATCTTTCCTATCCTCTACGGGGTAAAAATGGGAGTTCATAACCCACTTGAATCAAATGTATGAAATATGATAGGTCAAGAGCTTTGTAATGTTTTGAACAACCAATAAAAAAAATTATTATAGTCACATTAGGGCTTAGTTATATAGTTTTATATTAAGAAATGTTCTTTAAGCTGAAAATAAAGTACGACTTTAACAACAATAAAAAATATTTTGTTGCCGGGAAGGGTGGTGCATGCCTGTAATCCCAACAACTCAGGATGCTGAGGCAGGAGGATCACAAATTCAAGGCCAGCCTCAGCAATTTTGTGAGGCCCTAAGCAATTTAGTGAGACCCTGTCTCAAAACAAAAAATTTTAAAAAGGGCCAGGATGTGGCTTAGTGGTTAAGGGCCTCTGGCATCTGTTCTCAATCCCTGGTAATAAATAAATATAAATATATATATATATATATATATATATATACACACACACACACACACACATATATATACTAAATATACGTATATATTTATTTATATGTATATATAAATAAATGTATCAAATAATATGTAATATACATTAATGTGTGTATGTATGTATTTATTTATTTATTTAATGGACAGGGCCACATTTCAATCCTCTAACACTCTCACAAGATTACTTTTTAATGCTGATTGTTCTTCTGTTTGCAATACCACATTACATTGACTACAATTCCATATAAGTAGACCATTAAATAATTATTAGATAATTAAAATGTATTATATAAATATTATATTAATATAAAGAAAGAAAGAGCTCCTCTGAATTACTCTTAAAGGAATGTAAAAAAAAAAAAGTTACAAATTGTGTAGGCTTATTTTAGACAAAGCATGTATAAGAGATTCACAGGTGAGAAATGAGTGTGGTTTCCATATTTTCTTTCCTCTTTTACCTTCTGGTAGGTCCAACAAAATAAAGAAGATGCCTGGATTGAGCACGATGTTTGGAGAATGGAGATTTATGTATCTCTGGGAATTGTGGGACTTGCAATACTGACTTTGTTGGCTGTGACATCTATTCCATCTGTGAGCGACTCTTTGACATGGAGAGAATTCCGTTATATTCAGGTAAATGATTTAAAGTAACTCTAGTCCCTCAGAGAGGCCAATTTTTTGTGCTTCTAATATTAAATATTTGACCGTAGCCCATAAAGAATAACAAATGCCTTCCAATATAAATATCCCACACTTGTTCCAGTTAATAATGTGTTCTCTTGTTTTTTTCTCTATTTCTTCTAAATAGGATGCATTTTATAGACATAAATAAAAGGCATCACTAAAATAAAAATATTCTAACATTTGAAACTTGTTATATTTGCTACCCACCTAATAACTATAATGTGATATTCTAGGAATATCCTTGGTTAATAGTTCCTACAAATTAAAAAATTCTTTTACCCATCCCCTGACTTGAGTCATGCCTTTTAAATTGGACAGCTTTATACTAACTAGGGTGAAAAATCTCTCATTGAAATAAAGACTTTTATTAACCAAAGGTATTCTAATATCTCATTTTAAGACCTGCTTTTCCCAAGTTACATTTTAGATAGTTTACTCCTTTGAAGTTTCTAAATACTCCTGGGACTCAAAAACTATCTTAGATTTACTTAAATTTATCTCCTAGTGGAAGATTACCCTTAAGAAGAACATTGTGCCAGACTTCAGAAGGGGGCCCATATCTGTAAAATTCAAAGGACTAAATTTAATTCCATCATGAGCACTGCCAAAATTGTTTTAATTACATAGCCTTAACTTTCATGGGTGGACATCTTTGGAAATTTCCACAAAGTCAGACATTCCCCACTATCCTTTCTACATATCTGCACATTATATCCAACAAACATATCTAATTAAGCTGGGAAATATCTCTGCATCTGAATTATTCCAATGTGGTTTAGAGATGATACTGCATTCTCTAAGCAAAGTGTTTTCCAAATGTGTATGTTCAGCCTGGAAGCCATTGGAGTTCTCTGTTCCTCAGGAAATGTTTGCCTGCCACACATGAGCTGAGCATAATTTTTCAGATTTAATTAGAGATTCAAACACTGCATCTTAGCAACTGAGTTCATTCCACTGTAGGTACAATACCCAGATTATAATAAGTATACAGTACACATTTGGTAAGATTAATCTGCAACCAAATATATGTATTTTTCAATGACTAATCTAGTAACTTTTCATTCAGAATTACACTATGATTTACATAAGAGATTCATATCTGAAAATATAAACATAACTACTTAATTGTATTTATTGGGGTTCAAGAGTACAGTAATTGTGAGTTAGATTCCTTCTGGCAGACTCATGACCATTTCCAGTAAATAGAAATCAAAGTCACCTAGAAGAGCTATTGTGAGAATGCCATAAAATTATATACATGAGCAACTATTTATAAGTACCTAATCTGTATGATGTCAGAGTATTCCAAAGAAAGTTGAAATTTTTCTTTACATCTCTAGATTTTGCTGAAACATTGAAATAATTACAAGTATTTTCCCATTTCATCTGAATGTTTAATTTTTTTGAAAAACATATTCATTCACTTTAGTATTCATTTAGCAAAATCAGAGTGAATCACATTAGTTGTGTTCATAGTTTATAAAGATCATTGAAGTCAAGCTGATATTTGCAGTAATCTTTGGTCAACCTACCTTTATTAAATACCTGAAATGTGCACTTCATGTTGACTTTGCAGTGACCTTGTGATAAATAAGAGTCAGTTCCTGATTTTAGTTTAAGCAAATGCATAAGACAAAGCATGATAAAATAAACATCATAAAATAGATGAACAAAATGGCAGAGAAAGAAAAGATAGAAGTATTGATCACCTAAGACTAAAAGGAAGACTGTGAATTTTCTCAGTTTAGCCTGGAGATGAGAACATTACCCAAAAGTGAGGTGATAAGGGAGAATATGTAAAATGAGTAGAAATATGTGAATGGACATTGTTGAGAAATGTGTTAGGAAAACACTAATAAATAAATGAAAGGATTTCCAAGCAACAGAACAGATTCAGATGAAATAGGATGGAACAAATTCTTATTGAACCAAAATTCACTAAGGTAATTTTGTTTTTCTTTTACAGAGCAAACTAGGAATTGTTTCACTTCTACTTAGTACAATACATGCATTGATTTTTGCCTGGAATAAATGGGTAGATATAAAACAATTTGTATGGTATACACCTCCAACTTTTATGATAGCTGTTTTTCTCCCAATCATTGTCCTGATATGTAAAACTGTACTATTCCTGCCATGCTTAAGGAAGAAGATACTGAAAATTAGACGTGGTTGGGAAGACGTCACCAAAATTAACAAAACTGAGATGTCCTCTCAGTTGTAGAATTACTATTTACACACATTTTTGTTTAACGTTAACATGTTTTATCATAAACATTTCAAATTTGTATTTGTTAATAAAATGACTACTTGAGGATCCTACTTTATCTCTCTGTTTATGGGTGATGATTTTGAAATTTGTGTGTTTCCTTTCACATTTGATTCAAAGCAAAACAACATTTTTAATACTGATCTTAGCATGTTTTCTGTTTGATAAAACTAAGCATAACAAAAGCAATCACATCTAATTTGTCAGAGTATATAGCACTATAAGTGATGAAAGGCCTTAAAATACCAGTCTTTTCTACCCACTAAACATGTATCATAAGTAATGAAAAATATGCCATCTGAATCTACAATACCAGTATATTCAGCACTTATGATTATTGTTTTTTTAGTTTCTATAAAAAATTTATTGTATTTACTATTATTATTTTAATAGTACATGTTTGGGTACAGTGTGATACTGCACCATATCACACAGTGTATGATGATCAAAGCAGGGTCATTTGCAATTCCATCTCCTTAAATTTAAAAATTGTTTATTAACACATAATTGTTACACATATTTATGAGGTACAGTATGACTATTTCTACAGAACTTTCTATTCTAACCAGGTTTATTCCTGAAACACTCGTCTCAAAATCAACACAGACTGTGTCTACACTGATAGACACAGTAACATTAGATGCACATCCATAGCAGTCGCGTGCCTGAACCCTCACCTGCATGGCCAGGTGCCTGCACCTGTAGTGCTGGGAATGGGAAATCGAGTTCCAGCCTTCCTGGAATCACTAAGGAAGGAATGACTCTTTGTTTGAATGGTAAAGTTGGAAAGGCGTGATGTCGATCCAGAAAACAAGGAACTATTTGAGCTGCATATTAAAATGTAAGTAGGAGTCCTGCCAACAGAATGGGAGGACTGGTATGTCATGACCTGTTTGAAAGGTCTAGTTCAAGTCTTCTGGAACAGAATCTGTGGACAAAACTCCAGATAAACTATAGGCGAAGGCTGGATGGATCACCAAGGTCGTTGCATGAAATGAAACTGTGTTTGGACTTTGTCCTTCTAGGAATGGAGAAGCCTCTAAAAACTTGAAAAGGGCTTAACATCATTAGTTGCACTTCAGAAAGATCACTATATACCATAGAGATGAATCTGATGGTAAGAGGCAAAGGATAAAGGAAGGTTGGAAAGCCTTAAAGATATTTAAGAAGACAGTTGCAATATCCTAGGACACAGACAACAAATTTGCAAATGAAGGTCATTGCATGGGAGTTACGGAGGAAAGAGGAGAAATAATGAATATCCAGGGTAGAATTAACCAACAGAATGAGTATAGAGGGAAAAGAAAGCTTTTAGGATGGGACATCTAGGATTCCTTCTACCTGGATGCCTTAAAGGACAATGCTATTAAGCAGAATAGAAAGTTCTATAGAAGGAACAGAATTTTTAACCAAAACAAAACCAGAAAGTGTAGTCTATACATTGTAAGTTGTTTACAATAATCTCAGTTGCTAAGGGATGCAGCGTGTTGTTTTAGTTTCAGGGCACACAAATGTAGTTATGAAAAGCATAACTTTGGGCAGAGAGAAGGGAAAGGAAGGTATCTCCCTGCTTCTTTGAAAAGGATTGTTTTCATTTTTTTTGTGGAACATGGGATGGAGACCACATGTGCTAAGTGCGCTATCACTGAGCTGCATCCCTAGTCCTATTCGTTTTGTAGTTTAAGACAGAGTATTGCTAAATTGCCCAGGCTAGCCTGGAACTTGTGATCCTTCTGCTTAGCTGGAATTATAGGTGTGCGTCACCGCACCTGACTAAAAAGTTAATTTTTAAATAAAGCTTTTGATGTGGTTAACACAGTTGTGGAGGACAGTCACACCAGTTCTCCCTAAAGCAGAAGGAACAGCACCTGGATCCTTGCTGACCTGAGCCCAGTGCCTTCTTCCTTCTCCAAGCAGAGCTGCTTTTCCTGCTCACAGTGATCTACCTGGGCTCTATTTTCTTTAAACATTTGTTCAACAAGGACTTGGGTTTTAAAAAACTGTTGAAATATGATGTCTTTAGTATTTTAATAATGAGTTACATTTAATGTCTTATGACAATAAAAAAGAAGTGTATGATTCTGATGTTATTCTCACACCATAGTTTATGTGTCTGTGGAAGCATGTAAGAAATTATGGCCTATTAGCACAAAATTTGTAAAATTAAACATACAAATTCATAATAAAAATATGTAATTTTCTTTATTATTACTATGTCTAGAATTTTCTTCCAAGAAAATGAACAAGATGTAATAGCCTTTTTTTTTTTTTCTAAAAGCAGTCTTCAAAGTAAAGGTATTAGAAATTTTCCAGTGTGGATTTAGTGCTGTTTTATTCAATTAATTAGAAGTCCTCTTTCTGTGTGCCAGTTTTTTCAGGTGTTTTCAAGAGCCCTTTGAAGAGGTCACAGATTATTCCACCTTTTATTTTTTTTAAATAATCCTGCACTTGAATAAATTAATAAGTCACTCACTGGTGACCACTGTACATGACCTGAAGCTAAAGTCCAGTACCTTCTTCTGGACCAATCGAACTTCTTCAGCTGACTGGGGGTTTCAGTACTCTACTGCTAGTATGTCACATTACCATCATTTCTCACAGATGCTCATTTTAACTGTGCCAAGAACAAGTTAACAGTTCCTGCAGCTATAAAATTACTGAATTGGAAGAGAATGAAGAGGTCACCTGAATTCTCTAATCTCTTGCCTGGAGGCATGACCCCACTAAAACAAGGCTTCCCTCAGCAAAATCTTTGTGTTTCTGAACAGCATTGAATAGAGAGAAGAGGGAAAATGAACAAAGGCAGCAAAGTTGTAATGGTAAGGAAACTCTTGATCTTAGAACCAAGACTCTCTCCTGTACCTCAGCTGGACATGAATGACTAAGAGTGAAAGAACTGGGAGCTAAGTCCAGGGGTACTGATGATCAAGCCCAGGTGATTGGTGCCTGCTGAACACATGACCATAGGAAATGAATTCAACCCACATCTTATAAATCGAAATTGTACTATTACAAATGGATTTGCACAGTGAAATTAAACAGCATGAGAACTCAAGGGGTGGGTTTATTTGTATTGAATAGAAAAAAAATAACCTCTTGATCAAAATCTCTTAACAAAAGCCTATTATGTGTGTCATAGAGGTCAAAGTTCAATTGGGCTGCTGGACCAGGAGCTCTGCCTTTTTGTTACTTCTTCCACCCTGTTCACAAGCCCTTGTAACAATGTGGGCTCTACATTCCCCAATTTTGGCAACTAGGATAACAGCTGGGAACCAAAGGTGCTAAATAGTCCTCATTCTAATTTCACAGAGTAGCCAGCTGTGGGGTCAGACGGGGTTTGCAGAGAGGTGCTATAATTTCAAAAGAACCAGTGCTACAGCCACTCGCCACTGAAACCACCAACATGTGAGGAGGAGGACAGAGGGAAGAGGGAAGGTCTCCTTGGGGAAATATGGTGTGGACCAGGAGAAACCATGCTCTTGTCTAACCTCCCTAACCTGGGAGGGAGGGAGGCGCAGGTTAAACTCCTCCTCACCTACAGTCACCCACACTGAAGAAGATGAACTTGACCAGGTTTATACACATTTACCCTTTTGTCCGCACTTCTTTCCTCCTCTCCAAGCTTCCATCTGTTTTCTTTTTCTCACCACCTGGAAAAGGTTTTTTAAAAAAAAAAAAAAATGTTGGTATACTTTCTGTGTTCTATAATGGATGTATGCTATAGGAAAAAAAATGGGGCTTGAAAATGTATTTATTTCAAATCTTCACTATTGAAAACTATAGCTTAATTGTTGGCAGTTGTTTTCTTTCAGACCTGTAAAAAGCCCCCTGTTTTTGAAAAAAAAAAAAAAAAATCTGAACAGCTTTAGCCCTCCCTGTTCCACTGCACGAGTCTTGTCAAGATCATCAAGAGATCATCTCAGTCCTCATCTTATTTGCTTACCCAGTAACATCTGACTAGTTTTAGGACTCTTTACTGAATCATATTGTTTGCTTGGCTTCTGGGAAACCATGCTCTTTACAGATCTTGTTTCCTTTGCGGGCTCCTCTTCTAGTTCCCAGCATCTCATTGTTAGCAAGGTTAACTCAACTTCCTCCTCTTCTCCACCAACACCCACAACATAGCTGATTTCCTTAGGTCCCTGGGCCTTAAATATAAAACATGAAAAGTATGTTAATGAGTTCCAGATTTGTATCCCTAGCCTTCACCTGATCTCTAGGCTTATTGTATCTAACTGCCTTCTGATAACCCCTCTTGAAAATGTGAAAAACATCTCAAATGCAAAATTTAAAATCTAAAATCTTAATTTCCTTCCCATTCTCACCCATTTACTCCAGACAGACTCCAAGGGTTATCTTTAACGCTGCTCTTTACCTCATATCCATATTCATTTATCATTAAATTCTGTTGGCTGCACCAGCAGAATACATTCAGCTTCCAACTGCATCTCACCACTGAATTTTCTTGGTCCAGGCTGCTGTAATCCCTCTCCTACGATTCCTGCAGTAAATGTCCCAACTGGTCTGCCTACCTGCGCCCACTCTTGCCCTCAGCCCCTTATACCACCACCCCTCCCAGAATATTTTTCCACCCAGCAAGCAGTGTGATTCTTCAAAAGCATAAAGGCTGTCATTCCATTCCTCTGAACAAACCCCTCTAATGCTTTCCCATAAAATTTAAAATAAAACACAAACTCTTTACCGTGACCTGAAAATTCCTAAAATACCTGGACCCTGCCTACTTTTCTGAATCCATCTCTTATGCGCTTTACCTCACTCAGCCACTCCCATTACACTAGTTTTCTTGCTTTTGCTCAAGCAAAGACTCATTCCAGCTGTAGGGCTCACTGGCGACTATTACCTCTGTTTGGAATATCCTGCCTACATCTCAGTTTTCACATGATAACTCTTCTGCATCACTCACATATGTTGAGATGTCATCTCTTCAGAGTAACCTCGCCTCTGTAATCCCATGGACTTGGGAGGCTAAAGCAGGAGGATCAAAAGTTCAAGACCAGCCTTGGCAATTTAGCAAGGCCCTAATTAAC